TACAAAAAAAATCTTTGTTTGACTTGACATTGACATGCTGTTTAAGAATGTGAAAGTGTATAATTGTAATAAATAAGAAATGTAAATGGATGTTGGACTGTTTTGAAACATTCCCAAATAGCACATGGTAAGTGATATGGAGTACTAGGTAATTAATCAAAAGAAAATGTGATAAAATATTTGGAATAATAAAAAATGGAAAATGATAAAATTAAAAAACGGAGTAGTTATGGACAGACAGTACTTGAATTTCAATTTATATTTACTAGAACTAGAACTGCTACTTGTACACGAGCAGTTTACATCGGCATACATGTCTAAATGTAATTGTTTTTGTACCATTTTTTGAAATCACCAAAACTTATAATTTTGTCAATTTTTCTTTTTTGGATGTCCCACTAACTTTGTCACTTTCACTTTTAAATAAAGAATTTGTGGTTCCAGTTAATTCTCTCTCTTCTGCACAAACCTCAACCACACAGTTTTTACTTTATTAATCCACGTGCCAGTCAAACTTGGCAAACTTATTAGGGACGGGGGTATAAGCAATTACACTCAACCATGTTTCATGTACCCACTCTTATACTCACCTCATACGCACCATATTTGTGAAGTGTTTTTTTTTATGTGAATCCAGTTCACAGACAATATTTTGTTTGTGCAAAATATTGTTTGTGAACCGGAATTCACAGATAAAAAAAACACTTCACAAATATAGGTGGATATAAAAGTGGGTATAAGAGTGAGTACAAACATCATTTTTGTTTATTTAAAGACCGCACTTCCACTCCAAGTGGATCTATTCAGGGGCCTATTGAAGCATGTGGTTCAGCGTAATCTTAGGAATTCATGCTAGCTTCTGTAGTTCTGTTCATGGCAAAAAAACATCCCAGCATGATAGATATGGTTAGTCACGTCCCTTTGATGGAAATCTCTTCAAAACAGTGGCCAACTGTTCAAAAAAATGTACTCCACGATAAAAGTCCCTATTAATCAAACATTTAGGCAAAGTTTTAAATTGAATTCCTATTTTAATGCAGTAGGACCAATTATCTTGTGGTCTAATGACATCATTGGACAATTTCAAGAATGAGATCACATGTTCGAAACTCATCTTAGTTCAAGAATGTTATCTCTAACATAGAACATATTAAAAAGTTTTGCCTCAAAAAAATCTTAGTGTAATACTCCGTACATAGTATATAACCTAGATTTTGACCAATATTATATTTATATATGAAATTATTGTGATACAAAAATGATACCGACTTACCGAGTATTAGAGTCCGGTTGGTAATATCCAAATCGGTCAAATGGGCTGCAACCGAATTTTATAAAGTTTTGGTTGAAATAGTTAGATTGTTTGATTCTACTTATTTCTGAATAAATATATTTAAAATATATTCTATTAATAATATAAAGAAAACATTATATGAAAAACAGATAATTTTTTTATCTACAGTAACTTTAGCCAATACAGTCAGAAAAGTAACTCGACCTTACTATTTCATATTATTACACAATTCCGCACACAAAATCAAAAAGTTGGTTGATTAGGCCGATAAGCCGAAAAACAAAACCGGGCTCCTAAAGTGTTCTTTTTAAATATATTACATCTTTCTAACTTTTCTTTTCATTATAACTCACTAAGATTGTTTTGTACCAACTTTGATAACATTTGTGTGATTGTGTGATTGTAAATCGATAATACTTTAATCTCATTTTATCAATTTAATATCAGTCACATAAACTCACTTTTCTTGAAACACCAACACCTCCTCTTTTACCAATCAAGAAGGTAAAAGTAATACTCCCTCCGTCCCAATTTGTTTTGCAAAGTCAACATTTTTTGGTCAACCAATAATAAAAGTCAACCTTCTTTATGCATAATTAATTCAATTTTTAATAAATAAAATTTACATATTCATAAACTACATCAAAATCTCTTCAAGGTTGTAAACTCCAAATTAGAATATAATTAAAAATTGGCATCCTAATTAAGTGAACAAAACGCAACTGTTTAACCAAGAAAAGTCAAATTTACAATTCAATTCGGGACGGAGGTAGTATTACTTTGAACTCACTTTTGTATATCAGTGCAAGTTTGGTGATTTATGCTATATCTTTTACTATTCTTAACTAATCTTAATAGGTTACTATAGTTCAAATTATATTAACTAATCTTAATAGGTTAAATTTGAACTGTTCCTATTTTACTTGGTTGAAAGCGTATTAATTTTTGGAACTTAATTTGAACCATTCTTATTTTAATTAGTTTTTTGAAGGAATTAAAGTTATTTTTCATTAATCAGATTCAAATTTAAAGGATGCACTATAAGAGACGAAGGTTCAAACTTTAAACTACCAAATGCAGCGATAAAAAGAAAAATGGTCTCCATCTCTATCATAAGCAATACAATCCAACTTGAGGTACACATTTTTCATACACACCTACACACTCATGTTTGTGAAGAGTATTTTTTTGTCTGTATACAGACATAACACATTTTCAAATACGTTATGTCTGTATACAAACAAAAAAATACTCTTCACAAACATGAGTGTATAGGTGTGTGTATGAAAAACGTGTACCAATAGATTTTTTGTAAGCAATAACTCTCTGACAACTCCAAATTGGACTCCGCCAGCTCTAGTTTCTATTGGGAACTCAAAATACAGTATGTATTCATGAGATTATAGTTCTTTTTTTATTTTTTATTTGATACTCCCTCCGTCCCGAAAACAACTTCCCGGTTGGACTTTCACACACTTTTAGGAAATAAATTTGACTTTACTGTAGAATGCACTGTTTTGCACTGTTTAAACACTGTTTGGCACTGTTTAAACACTGTTTGGCACTGTTTGGCACTGTTTATCACTTTTTTATGTAGATAATTTGCCAAATAAGGAAAGTATTGAAGTGTGAAGTTAATTTTGGGACATCCATTTAAGGAAAGTGGGAAGTTGTTTTCGGGACGGAGGGAGTACTCCGTATCATTCAAATTAAAGACGAGCAGATACTATTAAGGATGGACCGGTCCCGGGTCTAGGAAATGGAGGCCTGGAACCGGACCGGCTATGTTCCGGGTCGGGTAATGTATTTTTTTTTGTTTTTCTTATTTATTCTTACACCCCCACCCCCAAACACCCCCAAACCACCCAGCCCAACCCGCCTCTTATCCAAACCATTCGAAAAAACCAAAAAAAATAATAATTTGGGCCCGAACCGGCCGGGCCGGTACCAAGTGGGCTGCAGCCCCCCCCGGTCTGGGTCATAGGCCCGGTCCTGGGCCCGGTCCCATTCAACCGGTCCGGGCCAGTCCCGCACAGTGACGGTCCGGTCCGGGTGCCGGGCCGGTCAGACCGGTCCCGAGTAGGGGTGGACTCGGGCCGGGCGGCCCGACCCGGAACCGGCCCGGCCCGGTTACAGTTTGGCCCGGCCCGGTGGGTCCAGCGGTTCGGTTTGGCCCGGCCCGAGTGATGGGCAGTCCGGGCTCGGGCCCTGCTTTAGGCGAACCGGCCCGGCCGGTTCGGGCCCGGGCCGGATTTTATTTTTTTTTTTTTGAAATTTTTTTAAGTTTTGGGTTGAATTAGGTATTTTGGACCATTTTGAGGTGGTTTGGGGTGGTTTGGGGTTGAGGGGGAGGGGTAGGGGGTTAAATAGGAGAACAAAAAAAAATTGACTGGTTTGGCCCGGAACCGGCCACCGGCGGTTCGGGCTCGGGCCCCAGTTTTCTGGCCCGAGGCCCGGACGGGCCCAGGCCCGAACCGGCCCGAGTCCAGCCATGGTCCCGAGCCATCCCTAGATAGTAGATACTATAATAGATTTAGAAGAATATTCTAAAAAAGGAAAATATCATTCACATTAAACATTCCTAATAAACTATATTAGACTTGAACTATCTTAGTTTTGTATAATCAAGTATATTATTTTTTTAAATTTGGGAATTTTGTTTCGAATCAAAACCGTTTGCTTCCGAACCAGAATCACCGGTTCCGATTCCTCCAAGTACAAAATCCGAAATACTACCCTTAACGGCTTAACCAAAGGTTTCTGTATCTCGCCAATCTCCTGTTCTGGCGCAAAAACCATCAATCCCAATTTCAATTGAAGTGTTGGACCATGAACCGGTCTAGATTGAAAGAATTTGCAACTGTTTTAAAGAACACAGAGATTTAAAAAACTTGAGTTGTAATAATTAATGTCAGCAACTTGGAGTCTAATAATGTTCCTATCACAACTAAAACCAAAGGATCATTTGAACTGAAGCCTCAAGTTGAAGCCCAACTCCATACTTTTCAGACATCTTAGTTTTATACAAGCATTTGTTATCATAAAAGTTGACAATTCCAGATGTTGAAAGTAAACTTACACACACCCTAAGTAGCACGGAAACGGGAAAAGGGAAACTTGAAACGGGAAACGGGAAATGCGAGAAACGTAATTTCTAAAAAATATAGGAGAGTAAACGTGGGGGAAACGCGTAAATATTATAAAATATAAGAATATATTTATAAATAGTTTTTAATATATGTACACAAGTTTTTCCATATGCACATGTTTTTAATATAATTTGTTTAGTAACCAAATAATAAAATCACTCTACATGTTTGAATTTAGATATTATTTCATATTAATACATAATTAAGCATAAAATGTATGGAGTAATACATTTCTAGCAATACATTGTGTTACGAAATGTAACAAGTGTTGCCGCTGAGAAATACCACAAAAATTTACTATAAAAAATTATTTTCCACCACAGAATCTTTTGAAAAAGAAAAAAATTGGAATCCGAGGTTTCCGAAACGTAGTGAAACGGGTTTACAAATTTTTCTTAATTACGGAAACGGTCCCGAAACGGGAATTTGAAGTTTCCGAGTTTCCGAAACGCTTCCGAGTTTCCGAAACGTGGAAACGTGAGCCATGGAGAGTTTCCGTGCTTCCTAGCACACAAATTCCAATGGCAAATTGGCAATGAAAGTCTTACAAGTAGATACTATTATACATTTATACTAAATCGATGAAGGTCAAATGGTATTCAACATAACAGGTAGAGGACGTCACATGAAAAAAAACCATCCACAACAAGCAAATGAGTACATTACAAATAATCAAAGAAATCTCAAGTCATAAACGGCATCCAAAATCTTCATATCATCTTTACAGTATGAACACCAAATGTTACAACAATTTAAATCCACCATTACATCTGTATCACTCTATTCATCTGATTGAGCAATAACGAAAGATAGCCGACTTCAACTTTTGGTCTACATGAGAACCCATTTAACCATGAGAACATATTGTAAACAGGAACTTTTGATCTACATCTTTTATATATCTAATCAATGGCTAATATTGACAATATCACATTTTAATCATTTTCAAATACTTTCAAAATAACCCAGTCTGAATTAAGAATAGTTACAGAAATACAACCTTATGAGTTATGAGTGCTAGCCATTGAATGGCAAATAAAAGGTGAATAATGAAAGTTCTCATGATAAGACGTTTACATGGTGAGATGAGTCCTCGTAAGAACCATTCCATAAAATGATGTTTCACTGCTGCAGCCAATTCTATGGTGTCGTCACACCGACAACAACATTGCTCACCTATGAAGGCATATGGATTATCATTAAAAATCAAATTGCACGCAAATACGGGATTAAAAAGATAAAAATTAGAGAATGAGGATATACCAATTTTCCGCTTTCATCAACAGACATGGGGTTTTGAACAACTACAGTTTGATTATGTGGGCGAATTGTAGCCTGCAATCACATGAAACATGATCTGATTGACGAATTCTGATCTATAACATTACCGCATGCAATTGATAAGTTCTACGGAGTATAATAAATTACACCAAGAACTCACAGTTGACGAAGGTGTTGTTGCTGATGTTGGATTAGCAGATCCATTGGGGGGGAGGGATGGACTCGGCACTCGTGAATCTACCGCCTGCTAGACACACATGCACATGCAAATTACAAATTTAAGACACAAAATTGCATTCAAAGGCCCAAAAATATCAAATCCAGACATACAGGTGAATTAACATCCCTTCCCGAGTCAGTTTGGATTTTGGAAAGGGCTAGTCTACATCTTGATAAACACAATGTTTCTAAAAATGAATAACGGGTGATTGAAATGTTATACGCTCGTCTATTATAAATTCCTTTAATTTAAAAAAGAAAAGCAAACATATATGATGATATTGACTTAACATCTGAACCCGCCCTTCCATAAGCCTTCATCCAAATGGACACTAAATCTTTTCTAATTTTGAGGCCTTACAATAGGGAGGTGACGATGAATATTGTAGGAGTACTAGCGGTGCTTAGCAGAAACAGTTGTAAGGTGGAGGTGATGATGGCTATGATGGCAGAGGTAATGGTAGTAGTGGTCGTGGTGAAGTGATGGAAGCAAAGATAGGGTGTGGCAATAGTGCTCAGTATGTCAGTAGTAATGGTGAATATGTTGAAAGGCAGTGGGTGACAAAGGTAATGATGGTTAGGGCTGACGGTGATGATGGTAGTAGTGGTCAGAATGTGACAGGTGTTTGGTCATATCATGGTTCCATGGTTGGAGGGTAGTGACAAACTAACAACCATAGTTGTCATGGGATCATGGCTACGTCTAGGCATCGACTAGATGAAACTTGGGTGTCCATGCGGTGGTTACCATAGCTGCTCACATGTTTCCTTGCCAGAAGAATGTCAAACATAGAATGGTATTTCTTAGGCAACAACTTTGTATTCATTGGGATGCCCATGGTTGATTTTTCACCAAATCTACTAAAACCTCGCGGCCTAACCGCACCATGTTTGCATTTACTTTCTTGAGTTTAATCTTTCTTCCTTTTTCTTCATTTTGGTTTACTTATCTTTGCAAATAACCATTTTCTTTATGATTTTTTTATTTCTTTAAATATCAATCACATTACCACTTTTTCTAAAGTTTTGTGGTTCAATTTATTGCAGATATAATAATCAGACTTGTGTTTTGAGTTAATATGATGATTTAATAATCTATGAACTACATTTGGATAAATTATATTCAGATATTGCACACTGCTGTCGCCAAATTATCGCCTAGGGACACAAAGCAGTTTGTTGGCACCATGTCTCGCATAACAGCCATGACAACCTTGACGACAATGTTGATGGCGAATGATTGATGGTTGGGGTGACTGGATGATGGCGGTGTGGCAACATAGTTTTCACAATTTTCTATGGTGGTAGAGTGGTCACATCAAAGGCAGTGGCAATGGTGACAGTCTTTCTTGTTGATACTTTAAAATAGTGGCTTGTGGGTTGGGACCAAGACAATGGGGGAAAGTCCTTTTTCCATATTTTAAAGACAATGTTTCCTTTACTTTTAAAGTTGTTTTTGATTGACTTCATTTTCCTATGCAAGTAAAACACCAAGGATGTTTTTAATTGGACTGGAATTTTCTGATATGGTCTATATAAGTCTGGCCTGGTCTTGCCTATTTAAGTCTAGTCTAATACTCTAATCTGGTAAATGTATGGTCTATGTGTATTTTATAACTGTCAAAGTTTGGTCTAGTCTGTTTAAGTCTGGTCTGGTCTTTTATGGTGTGAGACTGAAATAAGTCCAAGTAAAAAGATCCTAAAACACAAGAGAATCTGAAAATTGATTTATGGAAGTCATTTTGTGCATTTCAAAATGTAGCTTTAACGAAGCCAAGAGCAGATTATAGATATCTCACTACCCAGGTATTCACATCTGATTTTTTTAATAAAAAGGCCAGAAACAGTTCTTTTACGTTTTCTTTCATATTACCAATGCATCCACATCAAGAGCAAAATATATTGTCGTCATACATAAGCTTGAAACGTTATTGCAGTAGAGTAAACTTGAAACATTATTGTAGTAGATAATATAAGGTAAAAGCTAATACTCACATTAACATTAGTAATGAAGTGACACAATGCACACTTAACAGAGGGAGCTCCAGATGGATACATCAGCATTGTACGGCAACTTCCACAGTTAATATGAGCAAACTGGTTTGGTACTGTTCGTCAGCCAAATTTTCATTCAATATTAAAGGGCATAATAAGAATGAGATATGGGCATTTAAATTAAGTTCACATCTTAAAGTAATAAATATAGCTACAAGCTAAATTAACTCGTATCTACACAAAGTGGAGGGTGCACATTCGTGTGGCCAAACGATTTCTTTATTTTTCTATGTTCTTATGTTATTTTTATACGTAGTATTTCTTATGCTCTTTTATCTTTTTATTTTTCTTATGTTCTTATGTTATTTTTTTCTTATATTTGTCTTTATTTTATCCATTTTATCTTACTATATCTTTTTATTCTTCGTATCTTTCTTCTCTTTTTGGCTCTAACATCATGGACCGATTCATGTTAGCCGATCCCAAAATCTTTTGTGAATAAGGCTTGGATGTTGTTGTTGTTGCTGCTACAAAAAGTACAAAGGGAAATCCTGAATTTTCCAGAACTTATAAAAGAATACAACAACATCCGAGCCCTAGTCTCAAAAGAGTTTGGGTCGGAATTTCTAAAACAATAATCCTGTAAAATTTAACCAACATCTCATTCAATAATTCTGAGACTATTTCTCACAACCTAATCCTGTGAATCTGTGATACTGGCAACTTACTGTTTCAAATTTTAAACTTCTCTTATCATGTTGAACTTGTAACATGAACTTGTTTCTTAGCCTCATAGCCTATAAACGGTTTGAAATTGTCCAGAGATATAATATACCATTGCCATTACTAAAAGGCTACAGAAAAAATCACTCACTCTATTGCAGTTGAAAAACCGGAATCTGAACTTCGAGATATTACAATTCAACATTTTTGCTATAAAAAATTGACCATCATCTAGTGTACTTGATTTCTTGAAACTCAACTAACAATCACTCTTCTAGTTTTAATCTATATTGATTGCACATTTGAAAAATAAATGGCTTAAAACAAATGTACAATGAAAGTTATATTCATTATCATCAAAACCAAAAAAAACAATGAAAGTCTTGATTATACCTTGTTTTAGGGGCTTAATTTTCAATATAACTTGCATAGACATTAATTAAAGTATAAGGGCTGATTAGACTTCAGGGCTCCCTGGTATCAATAAAAGATACTCTCAATATATACTGCTTTTAGAATTGAAATTTGAAAATTATCTGGAATGTGAACTGGAGGTGCGGAATATGCAAAAAAAGAGGATTTTAATGGCTGAACTTGAGTGATTTCCTATTAGTTCACGCAGTCGACCCCATTGATTTGGGATTGAGACAGTGCTGTGGGATTTTAATGGCAGACTATGTAGGATTTGTATCACCCACTTTATACCGAATTGTCATACCAGGCTTGATACGAATTCTGAACAAAATTGTATCACTCCAGGCTTGTATGAAACCCAGTTTTTATATCGTGGGAACTTAACACAGGATTGTATTACATAAAATTGCCAATCACCCCTAATATTTCAAAGTCAATGAGCCCTTATTGATACCAGCACTAATATTCAGTTTTCTATTCAACCCTTTCAGCAAGCATAAGTTGAAGATGCCTACCCACAACAATGTTATACTATAAAATTATCACCACTAATTGCTATTTCACTCTTCACAAAAAGAATGGTTAAAATAACATTAGGAAAACTGTTAAAGAATATATGATGTACCCCCCCCCCCCCCACGCCCACGCCACCCTTAAAAATTTATCCTGCTTGAAGTAGTGGTTTGACACCCACGAAGACGACCCTTAAGCCTGATGGCAGTTTGTCTAGTGGTTGAAGTAGAGACATGCCCTAATTCTGTTTTGACTTGAATGAACCAGATGTTCTGTCCATGACTTCCAAATTTTTGCTTGGAATATGTGGTTGAGACTAATTGGTGGTGGTAATTGGGGGTATTAAATTAGCATAGTAAGTAAAATCAAAATTACTTTTACTAAACTAGGAAAGAAACTTTAATTAGGCACGAACCAAAAAGGAGAACATGAACTTTATTTAGAGAGCAGGGAGCAGTATATTACATTTTGCAGTTTCGAGCAAACATTTTAGCATCTACCATACATGTCATCTATGGCTTTACAATTAACTCTTTTTGTTTAAACTTGCATTATTGTCAGCATTAATATTTTTTTACCTGGCACAAGGTTAACTGTGTGACAGCATGAACATCTCACACTAGTAGCACCACGTGGATGCATCAGCAGCGTTCGGCAGCCTCCGCATATGAGTTGAGCCATTTCCATTGCTGCATTAAGAACAATTTCAAGTAAAATCTAAAGTAACAGAGATTAAGCACACATATATTGCAATGTAGACAGAAGTGACCAGAGATGTTGTACTCCCAGGTTTGATGTACAAAAAAAGAACATGTTAGCAACTTTTTTTGGTACATTAGGGGGCAGGCTTAGTTGGTATGCTAATATGGTACATGGTATGCTGACATTACTAGTTTGGGATGTCTGTACTAAACCTTACTTCAGTTCAATTAAATTTATACAAAAGTGGATGTGTGCCCAAGTGAGCTGCCCACGTTTTGAGTAAACTAAAATAAAAGATCAACTCAAGCCTAAAATAAACAAATAATCCTTCATGACTGAGAATAAAGCCCACCCCTATTTGTTCAATGTAAATCATCAGTCGAAATCTTCCATTCCTTTAGCAGTCTTCCACTGTTTTTCAAACAGATAAAATGAAATAAAGTTCATGCAAAATGTGAATCAACCCGGGCTTCTTTTTATTTCTGTTCTGCTCACACAACTCGAAAAAATTGATAACTTTTTCTTTGATACTGACATTAGCAGCTAAAATGCAAAATGAAACAACGTTCATTGGGAGAATGAAATAACTTTAATGCAAAATGCAAAACGCAAGATTTAAAAACTCTCTGTTTTTACTAGGTTTCTTTTTCTTTTTGGGAGAGGCTCAAGCATCATAACGAATTATGTATTTTAGAAAATCCATCAGCCTACAAGATACTATTACAAGCATTTCTAATTCCATTTTCATCTACCAACACCTAGAAACGCATTGCTAACAATTGACTGTTGAGATTTTGATAAAGATAGTACAATACCAGGAGGCGGGACAGGTGTGAGGGCATTGCACACTGCACAGCAGACGTTTGAGGCTCCTCTTGGATAGAGAAGAGTAGTCCTGCACCCGTTGCAAACCAGCTGGCACTGCATATCTGCACCCTAATTAATCAGACAAAATTGCACATTGAGCTGACAATATAATTGGCATAATATGTGAAATCTTCTAGCCTTTACGCGATAAAAAAGATTCAAAATTTGGATTCATTAACAGTAAGTCAACCCTAGATAAATGTGAATTCAAATTGAGCATTAACAAAGATTTGTAACAAAATCTTGAAATTCAAATTATAGAGCGACAAATACCATAAATATTTCGAACTGAAGGTTCAGAGATGCTTACTAGATGGATGGAACAAATAAGAAGCTCCGATTGACGAGGACAGAGAGCTACAGAGAAGAAGCGAGAGGGGCAAAGAGCTCTTAAATCCCAGGAGGCCGACCAAAGAATATGATATTCCGATTGGAAATCCAACCCGAGATTTGCTTATCAGAAATAGTGATGAATCAAATAAAGAGGGATACTCTGCTCTCCTTAAAGCTGCGAATCAAATGCGACTTCGTGATCTTTGACTTTCAGGAGAGGAAAATGAATCGATTTCAACAAGAAAGACCCATGTGATCCGTCCGTCAGAAATAGAATTGATTTGATTGAACCTCCGTGATGAATCTTTGTTTGTTCTCGTTTTCCTTTCCGGATGCTCCGAACCAGAAAGGATTTCCAACCCGGATTTCGCCTTGGCCCTCCCCAGTCCCCACCCTATCTGGCCAACCGGAGACTTTATTTATTTGCTATTTTCAGTATATCGTACAAACAACCTGCTCCAAATCTCCAATGGTATTATTATCGTATATCAAACCAACTAATAATTTATTTCAGCCATTCGTACAAAGTTTGTTGAGAATAATTTACAGCAGGCTGCAAAACTGCAAATGAATCAAGGCGAGATCGAAATTGTATGTACCTCAATTCGAATTTGATAAGAATGACTATCCAATTCAAACGAGTTATAATTTTAGCTCGGGTTCAAATTTGGTTTGAGTTGATCTAAAGGTTTTTTGGTTCCTTCTCAATGGAATTTTTTGATGAATTTGTTAGGGAATGATCTCAATCAAAGTTAGTGTATCCACACAAAACAATCAGCTAAAAATTTAATTGGAAAGACAATTATCTTTTAAAAATTATTTGACTATCTTTTCGATAGAATTTTTAGCTGAAAGTTAGTATGAATAAACTAGATTTGATGAAGTATATGCTCAAAAAAGTTCATCGAAAAATTTCATAGTAAAAAACCTGGTATAGTAGGTCATCAATAGGTTAGGTTCCAATGAAATAAGATGGGTGTAAAAGTGATATTATTCTGGGATTATGAAAATGTGGGATTATTATGAGAACACCAGTTAAATGTGAGATTATTTTTGACAATTTTTCCTTATAAAATTTATATGTTTAACAAAAATATATTAGTTAAAACGATTGATCAAAGTTCAACATGGAAAAATCTAATATGATTAATAAAAAACGGATTAAGGTAGTAGTACCTTAACCAATAATGAAAAAAGAATAAATTTCAAAATAGATTTGATAAATAATTACTCCGAGATCAGACATATAACACAATTTTACACCATTTAGAAACACAAGTTAGCGAAAAAAATATTAATACACAGATCTTAATTAGAACACAGATAAATTAATTGAGATTTGATTTAAAAATAAACATAACCACTACTTTTTGTAATATATATCGACATGATGGATATGATTAGAAAATAAATACTAAATTGGATATACGATAATAATATACGAGTAGCAAATTGGATATAGATAACAAATTGAATATATAATATTTAGATATGAGGAAGTGGTGTGATTATAAAAAAATGATTTTATGATGTTGGTGTTGAAATAATGAAATAAAAGTAAAATAAGAATGATCTTAATGAGACCGATCAAAAAGAAAAAATGAGACAATTTTAATAGGAGAGAATAATTTCTAACAAAGATAGAAATCTAAAATTACAAATTTTCATTATAAAACGATATCAATAATAAAATTATATATTAGGACTCCGTATTTAGTTCTCTTGGGGATAAGGAGCATGCTTCGGTCCACTTTGCTTTATTAATAAAGTGTTCCTTTATAGCGTTTTTTGGCTCCCCAAATCACCAAATTTACATATTTGTAGCAATATTTTTTTCTTAAAATGGGACCCCTATTAAAGTGGTGCCCTAGGCACTTGCTTAGGTGCCTTGATACTATAGCCGGTTCTGCGGATGGTGGCTCCAGTCAGATATAACTGATGTAATACTTGGGGGCATGTCCATATAGTGGTATTTTTATATGGATTAATATGAGAAATACTAATAAAAATGAATTAATTATAGAATCAAAAGTTTGAATAGAATGAATGTCTATTGTGAATTAATCAAGATCAATTATAAATCCTTAGTTGTTAAATGATTATTGTACGTACATCATACGAAGTATCTTATACGGAGTAATATACTACCTTCGTCCCAAGAAATACTTACCGGTTTGACTTGGCGCGCTTACTAAAAAGGTGAGAATAAAGTGGAAATGTATGGTTTTGACTGAGTAAGAAAAAAGTGTGAGTCACACAAAATTTTCCAAAAAGAAAATAAGAAGTATTTTTTGGGACGGTCCAAAATGGAAAGTGGAAAGTTTTTTTTTGGGACTGAGAGAGTAAATTTATACTTTAGTTCATGTTACTTTTCACCATTGTCTAAAAATCTCTCTAGGTATCCGATTAGTCCCCGCCTAGGCGCTAGGCGGTGGCTAGGTGCCCCGATTTTAGTCTAGGCGCTCCGACTAATTAGTTTGGATGAATTACTCGGTCGCCTAGGGCGCCTAATTGTCCGCCTAGAGGGCTTGATCGGTCACCTAGGGCGTCGGGGATTCGTTGAACTTTTTTATTTCTAAGAAATATATATACCTTTAGGTTTAACATAATGAACACGACAACTTTATCATTCATGCATGTTAATGTGTATGTGTTAGGGCTGTGAAAAAACTCCCGACTCCCGATCCCAATCCCGACAATCCCGATCCCGACAATCCCGATCCCGACTAGTCGGGAATTTTTCCCGATCCCGACTAAGTCGGGACGGGACCGGGATTTTTTTTTAAAAAAAAAGTCGGGATCGGGAAAATCCCGATATCCCGACATTATATATATATATATATATATATATATATATATATATATATATATATATGCATGTATATAATTATATATAAATATATAAAAAATGAATATACATTTATAAAAAATGAATATGTATCTAAATAATTTCATATCTTTTTTAATTACTTATTCCTTACATAGATTAATCTTTTACTACGAGTATCTTACAATATCAAACTTCTAAAACTATTCGGCATTTGTCCCAAAATGAATATTTGGGATCCTAACTAAATAGAGATTATTCTTGATCCCGACAATCTAAATGACAACAATATTACAAATTTTGCGGTTCTGATGAACCCTTAAATCATGATCGAGACTAAGATTTTTTTCTTTAGTAAATAATCATAATATGTATTTATACATTATATTCATTGGTCACACAGTTTCTGAATGAGTCTACATAGTTTTGAATTTTAAATAATATACGTTACACATCCTTCTTTTAGTGATTTTTATATAATGTTTGAAGTAAGTTTCACTAAGCCTTAATAGCTTATTAAAAAATTATACGATTATTTAATTGAAGTTACAAATAAAAATTATTCTAAAAGTATGTACTAGTGTGAATTTGTGATGATAATTATTACAATAAATTTTATAAGTAGATGAAGATAAATATGATATCAAAGTTAGTGTTTAACTAAAGAAATTACATAATTTTATGTTTGATACTTCATTGTCGGGATTTAGCAGGATTAAGCGGGATTCCCGATCGGGATCCCGACTTAATCGGGATTTTAATGTTGGGATCCCGACTTAATCGGGACGGGATACGGGATCCTCTTGTAGTTTGACTCGGGATCGGGACGGGATCGGGATCGGGATCATCCCGATCCCACCCCTAGTATTAGGGTTGGACTGAACCGGGCCGGTTCGGGCCTCGGGCCTGGGCCCGGCCGGGCCTCGGTTCAGAATATTGAGGCTCGAGCCCTAACCGGAGGTGGCCGGTTCCGGGCCAGACCGGGCCGGGCCGCCCGCCCCCTTTTTTTTGGCTTCTTTATTTAATCCCCTACCCCTCTTTCTCAACCCCAAACCACCCCAAACCACCTCAAATGGACCAAAATACCTAATCTAACCCAAAACATAAAAAATTTTCAAAAACAAATAAAAAAAAATTATTTCCGGCCCGGACCGGGCCCGAACCGGCCGGGCCAGTTCACCATATGGAAGGCCCGGGCCCGGAACCGGGAACCACCGGGCCGGTTCGACCTGAACCGCCGGTGGACCAGGCCACCGGGCCGGGCCGGTTCCGGGACGGGCCGCCCGGCCCGAGTCCAGGCCTACCTAGTATGTGTATATATATATTTTTATACACACAAACACAACATTACTAATCATATTTGTGCAAAAACATTGATAAAACTATTAGTTTTATGTCTCCGACTAATCCCCGCCTAGGCGATGGGCATTAGGCGATGGGCATTAGACTAACATCTAGTGCTTTTGGAACATTGTTTTTCACAGGATTTTAGTGTTCATATATCGGAAATTTTGATCATAGTTCAAACCCAGCAATTTCTTAAAATAAGTGTCACACATTCATCCCATAATGATTCCGTAATAAACATCTCACTCTTTTTTTGTTAATCAACCAGAGGTTTGTTAATAAATAAGTAATGCGTAATTTTTATGCAAGTGGCAGCATTTGTGTTGGTAAAATTGTATGATTAATAATGAACTGATTAATGGCGAAGAAGAAAAGGATACAAAAACATATCTTGATCGAATGAGGTCGGAGATGGCCGCCTAGGGATGGCCCTAGGTGGCTCTTAAGCATGGCTCTTGCGGCTTAAACTTCCTTGGGAAAAGGGGCAAATAAGGCCACGTACTAACCAAAAAAGGTCAAATAAGGCCTTATTTAGGAGGCTCTGCCCGGCCCTCACCATTTGGGGTGCTTCCCAGTGGAATTTTTCGATGAAATTTTTTTAGCATCTTATTCATTAAGTCTAGTTTACGCATACCAAATTTCAGCTAAAACTTCAATCGGGAAGGCATTCAAATGAATTCTTGAAGATAACTGCGAAGTTAAAAGCGCAGTTATCTTCAAGAATTCATTTGAACACTTTCCCGATTGAATTGTTAGCTGAAATTTGGAATGAGTAAACTAGACTTAATGAATAAGATGCTCAAAAATTTTCATTAAAAAATTCCACCGGGAACCACCTCAAATGGCGACGGCCGGACAAAGCCTTCTAAATAAGGCCTTATTTGACCTTTTTTGATTAGTATGTGACCTTATTTGTCCCTTTTCTCAACTTCCTTTCTCTGCTCTTCGAACACTCTGCCTCCGAAGCTCTTGGTATTTTTATTATCTTTTTATTAAAAACAGAATTGCTAATCAAACGCTTCATTAAAAATATAAGTTTGATATAGAAATCCATAAATCTTCATAAAAATCATAGGGGTTTTCACTTGGATATTACTAATTTTGAACCAATTACCCAAAAAGTGACCACTTTTAAAAAGGGGCAAAGAAGTGATCAAGAAGGTCATATATGTGCAATTAGAAAACATGATGTAACTGCAAAAATTTTATGTCACTGCGTGTTCGTATTTTTGTAACTACCGCAACCACTCATGTCACTACAACCACCGCCCGTGTCACTGTAGCCACCGCCCATGTCATTGTAGCCACCGCACGTGTCACTGTAGTCACCGCCCGTGTCACTATAGCCACCGCCCGTGTCACTGTAGCCACCGCCCGTGTCACTGTAGTCACCGCCCGTGTCAATGTAGCTACCACACGTGTCACTGTAGCCACCACCTGTGTCACTGTAGCCACTGCCCGTCGTGAAATATGTCACTATGAGAACGCAATAGTGACACCGCCATTGTAGCCCTGACTTCACTGACACGAACATAGTGACCTGCCATGGTAATCCCACCCATCACCACCACCAGCCCTCAGCCCCCGTCCCTAGCCACTGTCACCCTTCCCAAACTCTCTTCCCCTTCTCCAGTCACTACCCCCCTTCCCAGCCCCACTCCCCATATCCCACTCCCCTGCCCCCCTGTCATGCCCTTTCCCCCCTCAGCAGCTCGCTTATCCTGCTCCAGCCCCTCTCCAGTGCGCCTCCCCAACGTCCAAGCCCCATCCCCAACACAGAAACCATAGCCGTGACCTGCAACAACCGCTCCATCGAAGATGACGGCGGATCTGGTCGACGATGACGGATCTGACAGAATCTGACATTTCAATAGATATGAGTTTACATCTTCGTTGCGATTGAGTTCTAGGGCGAGAGCACGACGATGGCGGTTTGAATTTAAGGGGAGAGAATCGCGACCTGCAACAAACCGATCCATCCAATAGATGCGAGGACGATGCAGGTGCTACGAACCCGGAGAAAAGGTGTGTTGCGTCGGCGACTCTCACCTGTGGCGGCGGCAACTATTTCAGCGGCGGCGACTATTTCAGCGGTGGCAACACTCCCAGCTCGGTGCTTCAGCCGTTGTGGAGATGAAGGATCAGCTTGGGAGATTGACGCAGATATGTCGATTTGCAGGTGAATCGCGTGAGGTCCAAATAGATGGAAACAGAAGTCTTGTTTTTGTAATACTAAAAAATAGTCATGTTTTTGTCGTTAAGAAGTCCATGGGTAAGACGTATGCCATTATTTCAAAATCATAACGTTCTCTTTCACTTGCGTAAAACTAGCAGTATACTACTATAGAAATCGACAAATCCCCATACTTCTCCATAACGTTCTCTTTCAAAGTTACTACATATTTGTTGTACTAAATTCATTTTTATATAACAAATACACATCATGATAAAATACTCCGTGTGATTTTGAATAAGGCTGTATTCTACTCTAGATATACTCGTGCATCGCACGAGTATTTCGTCTAGTAAAGTAAGAATGAATTATAACTAAATAAATGAGATTAGTGTGTCAAAATTCTCTCGTGACATATAATAGATCAGAAGTTCTTCAAATATGAATAAAAGGTGTGATATTCCAAAATAGAAGGATGATTTTTTATTCACTATATAAGAGAAATTAAGTTTAATTAGGGTTGTATACTATCATATTTAGAGGGTGAGATGGAGTCGTATACCATACAACCAGCCATACGGCTTGTAATTTCAATGAAATTCGCGACTTCCGCTCAATGAGCAATAATTCACTTGTAATGAGCATCTGATCTATTATACTGAGTATCGAGAGTCTAATAATTAACATCATGATATCGGATTCATATCTTATGATTGACTTTATATTTCTTATTTTTAAAACATCTACAATGAATCCGTATGAATCTAATATATAAATTTGATGTAATATTATACTTTTGAAATATGCATGGATATGATATTTTAAACTGAGTTTACACCAATATCAAATGAGCATACACGAATTATGAAATGAGCATCAGACAATTCATAAAAGCTCATTTAAATCTCTACTATGCTCAACCTTTTATTTGTGTATACTCATCATTAACACTACGTGTATACTCCATAAGAAAAAGAAGAAAAGGAGAAACATGAGCCAAATCTAGGGTTGAGATGCCCTTTCATCCCCGTCAATCACGAAATCCACCATAGACCTCGGTTGAGAGCTCCATCACCACAGATCCAAGAGACGAGCTAAGTGATCCTTGTGGCGAGGAAGCTATGAACCACGCGAGCTGGGGATGATGACCGTACAGTGCGAGCGAACCTCTGAGGGACGAAGAAGAGTTCTAGACGGTGCGAAGGAAGCATCCCGGGGACGACAACCTGTGCTGCGCGGAGAACAAAAAGTTCGGTTGTACCGTGCGCACGGTACAACCGGATGTACAATATATTTTACCGGATGAGTTGACACTTGACATGGGGAGAAAATAAAGGAAAAAGAAAAAAAGGTGGGCAGTTGTGGCCCGTGTTGCGCAGGACATTATTTCAGTAGGGTGATGTCATGGTGACGCCCCGCTGACGCCACAACGCACCCACAATGGCCAAATTTTTTTTAAAAAACTTTTTATTAGATCTAATGGTTGTGATGATTTTGACACTGTTTGAACGGGGGAAATGACCTAATGACTGAAATTGAAATCCAACGATTGAAATAATTTATTTTATTTTTCCATTATTTTTAATTAGCATTTGGTCCAAAATCCAATATAAACACCTCATTTTTTCCTATTTTAATCACACACTCCCCATCTTATCTCATTTTTCTTCATATTTTGTTTACTATCTATTTTTTTGTTATGTCTTCCTCAAGAAGGGGTGATAAGAGGCAATGTCCAATTTCAAGATGAGGTGTGTGACTCCAATATCAAGTGAGACTATGTATTTATAGTAACATAATTAATTTTATGATGTAATATGGTGACAAGAGGATGTATCCAATTTATTATGATTGAATACACCGAGTGGAAAATAGCACTCAATGTGCTATGAAAGGACACACATAGTGAAGAAGAGAATCCAATGTGATATGAATAGACACATCAAGTGGAGAAGGGAATCCAATATGCTACGGATAGACACGCAAGTTGAGAAGAGAAATCAATGCTCCATGTGCTTGAACTCAGTTCATTATTTGTTAACCGAAAAACACAAAAAAAAAATTAATAAAATTTATTTATTTTTACATCGCAAGGTGTGCTTTTTATTTCATAATTATTCAGGGGAAAAATTAAAAGGAAAACATTACTTATAATAATTTAAATCATATTTTATTAAGTTGATATGTAAAAAAAATACGTTGAGTGTACTTTATTGATGATGATGGAATGCAGGGAAAAACAATATTAACGAAATTCAAACAATGTTCTTACGCCATGTACGCCACGAGTGATTTTACCCAGGAAATGAAATGTTGTATGATTATTATCAACCCAAATACTCTATAATCATTCAACAAATAAAAGTACATTCGGTTATGGCACATCATAAGTCTGTTATAAGTACATTTTGAACACCTAAAGTTGTACAGAATAAGTGAAAGTGCATTATTTTGTACACCACGGAGAAAAGAAGAGCACAGCTCATCTTGGGGCAGTCAAGTCCGCCTAAGAGAGGCCAGCCTTTTCTCAAGATCCTCAACATCAGCAGACCCTGAACTGCATACCAAATATATATATATATATATATATATATATATATATATATATATATATTTTCATTACATTAAAGCCAAGGGAGTAATAATATCAAGAACCACACATATACATACTACAGATTGACATTTGACACTTGAGGTTTTAGCTTTAGGATGTTGTTGTATACTAATTAGCAATATTTATTGTTATTCGTTTTCCTAATGTGATTCACTTCTCTAATTGTAGGGGACTCCATATGTCCTATATAGAGAGTCCCATGCACTCCATTCATTATCAACAGTTGTTGAATCAACACAATCAGAATAGTTGTTGATTGCATTGTACAAACTTCTATAAATTTCTCCACACAGATGTATGAGAGTTGTGTCCAACAACAAAAAGATCCCTATTGTCAAATTCAACACCTGAGATGATGAATATGATATGAACCAGGAAAACATACGTAAATAGGAAAGGATATGTTGTGTCCATGCATACCTGGGAGGAGCAACATTCTCGACTTTCTTTGATGCAATACGACCTTTTGGGGCTGAAGATAACTGTAAAGAGGACATTAACGCACTCCATAGTTAGAAAGCTAGAAACCCCAACTGCAATAAAAAAACATCTTTGCGCTACTTTTTTTTTATAAAACGAACCTGTGAGGCAATGTCCACACCAATCTCGTCAAGCACCTGGTTTGTAAGCTCCTCAGTTTCTTCCTCTGCTTCATCTTTATCCAAGGTTTCATCTATAGACTCCGACATCATCTCAATCTGGGAAGAACCAACCACCAAGAAGCGTAAATCAGTACTACAATATTGACAAGGAGTGAAGTTTTTATAACTGAATAAATACAAGATCTTGGTTGGAATACCGTCATATCCAACTGTGCAGACTCTTTTTGGAATTGTCTGATCACTTTGGCTTGTTTCTCAGGCGCCATTTGCTTGATTAGAACAAAAGAGAGGATAAGGATCAACAAATTTAATAAGATCAATAAAAAGAATGACGTAGGTGTACAGAATTCAGAATCAGCTGAGATCTGCAACTTTCAGCTAAATGTAGATGTACCATCCATTGATTAGTTACCTTGTTCATGGCTGTCATTGCTTTAGTTGCTCCTTTCATTCCAGTGGATATTGAAGTGCTGGCATATAGCGCCTGTCAAAGCAAAAATATGCATGTCCTTAAGATCTCATATAGTGATACTTTCTAGAATGACAGCCGTTTCAGCAAAATAGGGTAACCACCTGAGTGTGAGTTGCTACACCCCTGATCTGAGCACGACTTCCCTGCAAATTTACTATTTGTTGCCTAAGTCGAACCAGTTGGCGAGCTAAAATTTTAGTTGCTGCCTGTTTGAAGCAAAAAAAAAGTGTTCCTTTAGATGTATATATATTAACGAAGATGTAACTACATTTATCCTATCTTTATGACCGAATGAATCCTACTTTTAGGCTAAAACAAGAATGCTCCTATTTGTGCACATGAGTCATGTTTTACTCCTCTTTACAACAATTTCTTAATAAGAAAATGTAACACTACGTTCCTTCTTCCCCAATTTAGTTCTTGATTGAGCATTTGCATTGTAGTTCAGCGTTCACCCCTAAAAGACATGATATAAGCAAGCAAACTATGAGAAATGAAAGCAAACTTGCCTCGTTCCCAGTTTTAGCTGTTTTCTTGATCTCTGCTACTAATTTCTTCTCCTGTGAGTATCAAACGGATGGATGGAACAATTAGAACAGGATTAATTTAATTATGAAAACATATCGTTAATGGCCTATATAATTTACATATCTGCATAGAAGGCCAGAAAGCAACTTACTTCCATTTCTAAAGAGGCAATTTCACGCTCAATGCCTACAGCAATATGCGAATACATGTTATCAGCTCATAAAATAGAAACATAACCAATTCCGATACCAGGAAAAACATAATTGGAACTTGTCAAACAGAGAGATATAAGTGTGAACAATACTTAGGATGTTTTCTTTTCGACTGAAATTTGCTGGTCTGGTTTGGTCTGATCTGATCTGGTAAACGTCTGGTCTCTGTGTATTTTATAAGTACGGAAGTCTGGTCTGGTCTGATCTGGTCTGGGACTGAAAACAGTCCAAAAGAAAACATCCTTAATTGTAACTGTGAGTCCATGATGATCATATGAATGCATGTAGAGGAGGAAAAAAATGATGTGTACATAAAGCAAATAACTCTATTAACGCTTACACTCGCAGCTTCATGCTTAGTTTAAATGAATATAAAATAAAGAAGCTTCCTGATTTAAGCTAAACAGATCACTCGGTAGCCATGCTTCATTGACATTTTTTGACCGCACATAAATTAACACCACCAACTAACAATTTCCAAAGATAATACTGACTTGCTGAACTTAACTCGCTTTACTTAACAACATAACTCTCCTGAACCAAGATGATAAGGTTGTTAGGGAAAGTGAGTCAATAAGTAGGACGCTTCAAATTTGTTAGCTATCAGTTGTAATTTATATGTGGTATAACCTTAGGAATTTGTGGCTACAAAAGACACATTGTTGGCATAAACATTGGGAACTTTTTTAGATTTTAATTCCTTTAGAGTTTTTTTGGGGCCTTTCCTTCTATCAATGATAATGCCAAAGGGAAACTGTTTGGTCTGGTTCAATAGTTCAAAAATGTCACATAATTGGCAGCTTAGGATCTTTACACGTATATCAAATCTCTGGAGCTTTGTTGAACATGGTGCTGGGACATAAGACAACGTGTGTTAAGGTGCCTATTATACACTATCATTATTTTCAAACGTGAAACAACAAAAGAAGCATGATAGTAGCAATTATGGGGAAGATTGTACTTCCAATGTGATAGGAGCAACATGAGAACCACCACCAGAAGATACTTTGAGGTCTCAAATGACTCTTAATATGACTACCTCTAGTCAAAGAAGAGGAGGATACAATAGAAGTACCATTAAAGGCAGATGGTGTGGTCAACTATTTAAATCAGGAATGGGTGGAGAAATAGCAAGCAAAAATGTTTCAATTTTACCTCTTTAGTAGGGGAAGTGCACAAGATTGCAAATTGTACATATAGGTAAAGTAATTGTGGCAATCAATGTAACAATTCTACAAAATCCTGGTGCTTTAAGAATTAAAACTTTTCTTTTGGATACTAATACTTTGCCTACAGAATCAGTGAGACATATGTTTGGGCAGAAAGGTGATTTCTGTTGAGGGATGGATCAGTTGGTGAGAAGTTACTTCAGGCAATAAGTCAAAACTGAGAAGTACTAATTTTGGGCAAAAGTAGAACTTCTATTTAATTAAATGCAGTTCTGGCGATATGATATCGGGTGTCATAACTAGCTAAAAATCATCAAGTATTAATGAAAGAAACATCTATCCTTGGTTTACATGATTAGTAAGAATACTGTTAGATTATTCACATCATAGACAAACTTTCCAGCAACATTTTGTTGAAGTAGTTGTTCCACACCGGATTTGTATAAAACAATAGAACACTATATTACAAAATCGCTTCTATGAGGTTAACCTTTTAAGATCAAACCTCACGTCTTAACACATTCATCCTTTGGAATCTTTTTCTCTGATCTCTAAAGTAGCTATTAATGCTCAAACACATTCTCTCTCATTCCCAAGCTGATCATTAACAAATCATCACGTGAACTATAATCATAGCAATAGATGGCGAAGTTTCTCCACAAAGCATATATTCTTGGGGTTATATGTACAATTCTTCCATTACCCCTACCCAAGGTGAAATGTTCTCGTTCACTTCCAGAAAAATACATGAAAGAATACATGGATTCTAAATCCCTTACAAAACCCCTATTAGGATATTATTCTTCATGCTTAAACATACATGAATTTACAATTCTTTTGAAGCACAAACAAATTAAGTCAATAAGTCCCAAATAGAACATTTCACAGTTGAGTTGGGAGGTTTTCTTGAAGAAATTCTCTCAATTTCAGTTAGCTTGCTTTCTTATATGGAACACAAAGAAGAAGCACAAAATATATATCCACACCCGTAATCGTTTGAATAAGCAAAAAATCATATGATTCGCATCATCAAACAGGAGTACCTCGAGTGGCAACAGCCATTTCCCTTTTGCTGGTTCGTAGTGCATCTGCAGTCCATTGTCATCAGAAGGGGTAAATTTCCGGTATGAAAATCCGAACTGAAAAAATGATAAGGAACGCAAAAGATCGTACCTTTGGGTGAAGTTTTCTTCTTGAAGATGTTCATTTCGAAAACCCTAAGACCCACTTAGTTATTAGGTCAGGAAAATGGGGTTTCTCAGAGTATGGCGAGCAAAATGTTGGTAGGCAGCTCTCTAGGCTAGTGTTTGTAGGGAGAAAGAGTGTGTATGTTTGGGTATCGATGGGTCCAGGTAGAAAAGATTGATCAAACGGCTAGCAAACAGCTGCAAGTAGCCGTTGTATGTAAGCATAAATTGGCCAAATTGCTTCAACAATTTGTAACGTCTCTTTGACTTTAGGGAAGTTAGGAGGCTCCGCTGCCTCCGCTTGTAACAATATTTAGGTCCGGTCTACCGGTTCGGTTTAAGTTTTATTTGTCAAGCATGTTTTCTTTTGGACTGAAATTTGCTGGTTTAGTTTGGTCTGCTCTGTTAAACGTATGGTCTCTATGTAATTTATAACTAAGAAAGTCTGGTCTGGTCTGAGACAGAAAACAGTCCAAAAGAAAACATCCTTAATGTACATTCATTATAGATAGAAAGTATATTTAAGGTTTTGTGTTTAATTAAATTAAATTAAATGGCATACTGGTCAATCTCTTGTAAATCCTAATTTTTCAAGGAGGCTTGCTAATGGAATAATACATATCTCTTACGTCTCTACAACATGTTATCAACATGTTTGCTCTAACTCTAATTCTTTTCTGTTCGCTCCACTGCGTCATTCCCATCCTTGCCGATCATTTCGCCGGTTTTCATCCTAAAGCTTTAGGAACAGAAATTAGAGCACAAAGCCTTGCCTAGTCGACGAAATTGCAGAGGAACTGCCATCTTTCTGCATCGGTGCCTTTCTTCTTTAATTTTTATCTGATTTGATAAATGTATGATGTGTATATATATGAGAAAATTATTTATATTTATCATATGACTACAAGAGTGTCTATTTCTCAATCTATGACCAAGTCATTTTTTTCCTAATTTGGCGGGAGAGTGATATGTCACTCACGTTCCATATGCACATGGAAACTTTCTCTTGCTTGTTTTTCAGTTATCCTACTCACCGTTAAAGGGATTTTTAGTCGTACATTGATCAATCAAGATTTTTAGTCATATAATGGGAAATCATCTCTCTTTTAATAACATTGTGCCCTATATATATTGTCTAATCTTTTAAGTCTCGCCTAATCTGGTTTGGGAAAAAACAATTTCAAGTGAGAACATCCTAATAAAATGGTTCGAGTAGCCCATGGAAGATATTTAGATGTTCTACAATTCACAGGTCATGTGCGAAATCTCTAAGGATCAAGACTCATTTAGCCTATAAAGCAATATACTTTGTAGTTTTATCTTTTTCCCCTTTTTGTAGATCCATTTTAACATCTCATGTCTTCTTTCAATTGCTTCTGATACACCACTCTGCACATCCAATATAAACGAGTATGTGCTTCCCTTCATGCATAAGACACTTATGTTAGCATTGCATTTAATTTATGGGACAGGTAAAGCAATATCATTCTCAACTAATAACATTAGATTATTTACTATTTTCACAACTATTGAACACAAAACACTTCATAATCATTTAGCGATGTTGTAGATAACAGCAAGACTCCATTGTTATAAATTATAATAATATTATAGCTTTTGAAATTGTGAACGACTGAACGGGGTTTGTCACTCTCACAATATTGAAGCGGAGAGTCATCAGCGCAGCAAAAATTGTGGAGGAAAATGCTCCTCTTTGTGATGAAAGGAAAGAGATGTCTATTCTTGAAATTGAATATCTCGAAAAGGAAAGGAATCTAATGGTTGAACTTCCTCAAATATCATCAGATCAATTGGATATCATCAAAGAAGCTTAACCATATGAAGTAAAAAAGTGGTGTAGGGTGATAATTGTGAATATCTGGATTTTATTGCACCTTCAATTTTTTAGATAGTGTAAATTAAATGGATAAAATTCACAGGTTCTTGTTTTAGATTTTGTTTATATAGTTTACCTTAGGGGTGGACCCGGGCCAGAAAACTGGGGCCCGAGCCCGAACCGCCGGTGGCCGGTTCCGGGCCAAACCGGTCCATTTTTTTTTGGTTCTCCTATTTAACCCCCTCCCCCTCAACCCCAAACCACCTCAAATGGCCCAAAATACCTAATCCAACCCAAAACTTAAAAAAAATTCAAAAAAAAAAAAAAAATCCGGCCCGGACCGGGCCCGAACCGGCCGGGCCGGTTCACCTAAAGCAGGGCCCGAGCCCGGGCCGCCCATCACCCGGGCCGGGCCAAACCGAACCGATGGACCCACCGGGCCCCGGGCCGGGCCGGGCCAAACAGTAACCGGGCCGGGCCGGTTCCGTGTCGGGCCGCCCGGCCTGAGTCCACCCCTATTTACTCTCCGTCTCTCCACATGGATGAGGAAGATCGTATAGTATAGATTCGGTCTCTACCATTACTATTGTGATATATTTTCAATGTGACATGAGCATCACTTGAGAAGATGAAGGAAATAAGCAAAATGAACATTATGCAGAAAAAACTGATTAATATAGAAAGTAAACGCCAACATGCTAAGAAAGCAAAGGACGTTTGAGAAAATGAGTCACTACAACAACAAAAACAGAGATGCCACTAATAAACTCATCAGGAACCCACACCCATATGATAAGCATCAAAAACTGGTTTCTAATATTAAAGAACAAATAAACGAATTAAAAAGTATACACTATTTTACATCTTTACATACAGGAATATGTCCACACACTACCATTTTGAGAACTCCCGAGTTCACATAACATATGAAAACTGGAGTTTGTTAGCCCAACCTTATTCAAGGCTTTCGACAAACTTATTGAATGAAATTCAATCACTTCGCTGGAAAAAGGTATAATCTGAAACCGACTCTTGCTTTGTGATCTACAATGCATCAATTGGTACAACATTATCATAATGCATAAATTAAAAAAAAAAAAAGAGGCAGCAATGTGCACATTGGTGTCCCCACCGGACAAGGGTTCGGGGAAGGGTCCCACCACAAAGATGTATGAGAAGCAAGTCTTCCCTTGTCACTTTTGACAAGAGGCTGCTCCAAAGGCTTGGACCAGTGACCTCTTTGACAGCAACACTATAATCGGTGCGCCCAAGGCTGCCCTTCATCACGATGCATAAATATATCACTTTTTCATATTTGAAAGCAAAAAAAAAAAGATGAACAAACCTCTGGGGCCGCATGTGAAGATGTAGATCCGGAAGGAAAAACAGAGGCAACAAGAGGAGACCAAAGAACCGGATCTGCCAAGGCATCTATACCACCCCCATTGTAGTTGGTCATTAGAGGAGCAGACAAGATAGGAGTCAGCGGATTCAAGTTTCTGTTAATCATTGCTAATCCTCCACTACTCCCAGTCCCACCAAACAAAGCTCCAAGCTCACTATCCCTCCCCCCAGCACTACCATCGTTTAGCATCTCAATTGTTTTCCCGTAATTATCACTGTTGTTCTCATCATCCTCAACTTTTTCTTTATTCTTTGATGCTTTCTCTTGCAAACTCTTGTAAGCAGCAGATTGTGACAAAATGCTCATAATAGTTGGTGTGGAGGTTGGGGTGACTTTCTGATTGTTTTTCCCTCCTTTTTGTGATAGCCCTAAACGTGGCATCTCATAGGGTTGAGTTGGATGAACTGTCAATTCCAATACTTCATTACTACTACAATCCTCAGAACAGCCATGTTTTGGTTCCTCCAATGCCTGAACTTTGGTCGTGGGTCCCCACCACTTGATATAGCTTGACAAATCTATTTTTTGGTCCATGCAAAAACCGGGTAGATGTTCATTTTCTGCAGTGACATCATCACCTGATCCCGGAAGAAAAGAAAATTAAAACTTTCAATTATTAAAATGATATTTCTCATTTTATGGTAGCACCTTTAGAGGAGGAAGAAGTTATAGTCACCGTGATGTTTGCTCCTGAAATCATTAGCTTCACGAAAATGGCCAAATCGTGAATCCCGGGGACTAGTATGCAAGACAACAAACTAGATCAGATGTACCATGGGAAGTGCACATTGACACAATAGCCGTGACACATGTAAGGAATCCAATTTCCATTAAATATTTTAAATATGGAATGAATTAAATGAGGGAGCCAATCATGCTTATTTAATGAATTTGATTCTGTAATCAATAATTCCCTTGCTTAAAAAATTAGGTCTTCTCTTTAAAATGGCATCTCGAGTTTGGAAGAAAAAAGTGGAAATTGGATGGGGCAAGAAGTATACTAGACGGGGTCAACATGGACACAGACGTGGGCAGGACTAAGAGTTCAAAATTAAAAATTATTCATTCATATCCGTTTTAGTAACAATTTTCCATCATTTGCAATGGAACCAAAGATTCATTATTTTTTGGCTTGAGAATATGATGGAATAAAGCAAAATGGCTCACCAAACTGTCTGCGCTTGAAGCAGCAGTCAGTCCATGCAATTTTTGGACGCGATTTTCATTATGGGTCATACGGAAACAGTCTCTCTGTGCTTTAGTACAGGGGTAAGACTACATACATCCGACCCCCCCCTTACCCCACCATAGGTGGGAGCCTTTGTGGCACTGGGGTAAATGATGATTGATTGATGATTGATCCGTTTTAGTAACAAGTCTTCATAAAAATTATATAAATTGGAAAAACCAAATTTTGTTCAATTAATTTGTTCAAACTTTTTGTTACGACTAACTTATCCCAAAATTTTAGAGTGCACATACTAAAAAACGTAGGTACATAAGGATCTTTAGACAGGACCAAAGGGGGTTAGGCCCAACATGAGCCCCTAGCTCTGCATCGTTAAGTGAAAGAGATATAGTTCCATGTGCGAGTGTACCAGGAGGGTGGACGGTATTTAGATATTCCTCGGGTGAAACCACTGCTCTTTCTGCCAAAAAAAGAGTGTAGGTTAAGAAGATTCCAAAGTAAATGCATATGTTCATATTTCATAACCAAGCATACCTTCTAAGTGATGCGAGATAATCCTCCCTTGAAAGATTTTGCATCTCTTCGAGGTCCCTAGTATAGTCTGTTACCTGAAGGAATAAAGGTAAAGCTTCCTTCAATTACATTTGTACCAATTAACCTACCTTCCCAATAGCATCTTTTATACCATTCCAAACTCTACGAAAGCACAATCCCTTAATTCATTTTAAAGTAAAAGCTACTATTAAGCCTCTTATGACACCTGGATGCGTGCTAGAGAAATTCTGATAAGTATGTAATTTATATGGAAAGTTTGAGGGAAAATATAGAAAGAAATCTAACTCATCATATGGAAAAGGTTGAAGACAAGGATATAAAAAGAAGTGTAACTCATCATAGTATGGATTAATGTTAAGGTTTTTACTAGTACTATTATCATTAAATGTAGATATAAATTGTATCTTCATTTAATTAAAGATAAGATTTATACATTCATATTTCTGCTCATAAATGAATTTTCATACAGAGCATTAATACTATAACTAATATTTATTATTATTATCTTCAATTGATTAAATGAAGATAGAATTTAATAAACAATAATAATAGTACTAATTTGAAACATTATTCATGAACAGAAATATGAATGGAGAATTCTTATCTTTAATTAAATGAATATATAATTTATATCTCCATTTGATAATAATCATAATATACTAGTACTAACCTTATAATTAATCCAAGCTATAGTTAGGTTTCTTGTCTTCAATTTTTTCTTCCATTCTTTCTTGTTTGTACTAGAAAGAGAAAAGTAGTCTTCATACTATATGGTCTCCTTCTTATAGTTAGAAAGGACAATATACTTAAATATTATTAATTTATTATTTTACTTACTCTTTAATTTATCAAGTGTCATATGATGCATGTTTAATTTTTGTGAGTCTTAGTCTCTTAGACAAGTCCATTCTACACATGTAGCAATACACACAGACACACACACACATATATATATGTATCTTCTATCATATATATTGGATGGCATTTTTCTTTCTTTTAATTTAAATTTTTTCTTTTATGTATTTTTTTTATTCCATAGGTGGGAGCCTTTGCGGTAATGATGATGATGATGTGGCTATCTTTAGTGAGCTTTGATTTGCAAATATCTAGCCACATGTTATTTCATTCTACCTATATATCCATATACACACACACATACAAATATATATATATATATATAGTCTTGTCATGCTTATTCTAAATCCATATGTTTAAGGAAGGCTAGTTCCCTGTCATTTTTATCTTCGTTTTGTTTCTAGTTTAATGTCAGATTACTATATATTATTACTTTTAAATTGGATAGAGAAAATTATTATATTGGTTCATATGTGAAAAAGTGATACTTAAACGGGTTCATGTTTTTTATTTAATAAATCAGCACCATTACTTTCATAATCTATAAAAATTAGGTCGTTACAGAGGAGTGTCCAGTTGAAATCTGGTAGAATATTAGAGGAAGAAAATAGCGAGTAATTTGGAGAGAAAAATTTGATAAAAATAAAAAATAAGTTCAAACTCAAAAAATACTTTAGTATTAGTTCAAGCTCATATAAAGTTTGAAAAAACATTAAACATATTTGAGTATTTGACTTTCTGTAGCAATTTTTTTCATCCCTAACATTCCCCTGATCCAAATACCCTGAGGTTCTAGATATGTGTTATCTTACTCGAAAATTAATGAGTGTTCCAGGGCCCCAATATTTCAAAGCGGCAAGATCATATGCTCTAGCTGCTGCCTCTTCATCATCATATGCTCCTATAGAGATTTTAAACCAGATATGGTTAAAATTAGTGTGAGCCCTTGATGTTTTGACTTCTACGAAAAGTGTCCATACAAACTACTTACCTAAGTAAACTGTTCCAATGACCGAGCATGCAATTCCACACCGATATTAAATTTTTGAAACGTGCAATTCAACAAGACATTTGAGCTCTAGGTTAGACATTCTATCAGCAAGTGAAAATAAAACATAATTAATCTGTTAGAGAAGCACCTTGTTTTCCTTTCTTATTTTGATTTTGATTCCAGGTACTTTTGTCCCAAAGATGAGCTTCATAACGACCAGTCCATCTATGCCTATATGCAAAAATCATATATAACAATTATGGTAGTAAGGGTAAAATCAATATTGGTAGAGGTTAAATCAAAAATGGGCGCTAGATTATGCAAAATTAATCTAAATTTTATTACCCATACGTTAAGCAAAATTTAATGATAAAGAGATACTCTGTATTTAGGCACATCAGAATCTTTAGTACTTAACCAATGCCGTACTTATCAACCAAGAACGGCATGCAGATCTAAAAGTAATAACTTTGGGGCATCAAGTACCTTCACCAGCTCTATCACCCCAACCCCAAACAAAAATACTCCTAAATCTGGAGTTCCTCAATCATTTACCTTGCACAAGTAAGTGAATCAGCGTGATCTAGAAACTGGTGAACTTTGGAATAGGGAAAATAATAGCACGGAAAAAGTTCTACCTTTGGAATATGGTGAACTTTGGAATAGGGAAAATAATAGCACGGAAAAAGTTCTACCTTTGGAATATGGTGAACTTTGGAATATGGCTATTAGATATTACCACATATCCTTTATGCAAAAATTAGTGGTTTGGGCACTTCTAGATGATTATGCGCTGATTTGCTTATGTTCTTAACGTGCGGTAGACTTTGCTTATGCTATAAGAAACAAACCTCATGCTTCACTTGTTTAACATACCAGAAATAGTTTAAGTCTAGGGAAGAAGTAAATACCACAACAACAACAACCCCCCTCATTAATTGGAAAAGAAAATAAAAGTTGCAAGGAACTTCAAATGGGTGTTAGGAAAATTCAAAATGATCTCATGTACGGTATGGTAAATTAGCGAATAGGATAAATCACTCTGCAAGGCATTACTTTCAGAAACACTCGTGACCAAAGTTTTGGATTACAATCGAAGAACTGCACTTGGAAGTGATTACAACCATACAATTTTCTGAAAGAAAAAGGACTTGCCCCTTGGAAAATTTCTTACAAGTTCCTCATCAGAATGAGAGGCATACAAACCAAAGAAATCAAAAACTGCATAAAACATGTCCATTTGGATCTACAGCAGATTTCTCATCTCATATAAAAGTTTGGGAGGAAAATCGATGGTACATATAATTGTTATCAGTGATCTTAATAACAACTAGAGAGTGGCGTTCATGTCCAGCCGGCCGACCCTTCCTGGTGGAATTTTTTGATGAAATTTTTGGAGCATGTTCTTCATCAAGTCTAGTTTACCCATACCAAATTTCAGCTAAAAATTCAATCGGGAAGGTAGTCAAATGAATTATTTAACACTGCGCAGTTAATAAATATATACACTGCACAGTTAAATTATTTAACTCAGTATTTTTCAAAAAATCATTTGACTGCCTCCCCGATTGAATTTTTAGGTGAAATTTGGTATGGATAAACTAGACTTGATGAAGAACATGCTTTAAAATTTTCATTAAAAAATTCCACCAGGAAGGTCCCCAAACGGGCTTGGCCGGACGGCTGTTCCCACCAGGCCGGCTGGTCATGAAGATTTGTCAACAACTAGTTATGCATATTGAACTTATACGCCAAGGTTTTCAGCTAACTTTCTCATTATTTTGTTGCCACTCAAATCACAATTCACAACCATAATACAAAATGAAATCTTCTCACTGACCTTAACTACTACGCACTACCTCCGTAACGGAAAGATGTTCTCACTTTCCTTTTTTATCTGTAACTAAATAATCTTCCCATTTCTAAACTTCTCATCATACTCTTAATAATTTTAAAAATAATGCACTATTATTCCACAGCACTATTTTATTATGTTCTCATCATATCCTCAATAATTTATATCCCCGTTACTATTCATAATTTCACCAACTGTCCATTTGGGAAGATTCTAGTGTTACGGAGGTAGTATTAGTTTTGCCCTAGGTCTGCATTCAAATATTTAAGTAAAAGAATGAAAATTAACCCCATTTTCCTTAGATGAATATCTCACTGTGAATTTCTAGCTGGAATACCTAGTGACACCACGATATACAGAGCTTCTCTTGCCAGCAGCGCATGGGGGCATTTTGCTGATACGCTCCTTAGCCGTGCAGACTCTCTCTTTCTTTGCTTTCTTCAGTAATCTGTACAAAGATAGCTGATCGCTTCCTGCCGGCCCTGCTGTTTCTGATGATTCTCCACCGCAAACATCATTGCCACTGCTTCCTTCAGGTCTCGCGGAAGGCTCAGGGGAGGAGGAAGCCATAACTACACCTATCTCCTGTAGATATTCAATAAATACTCGTAAATAATTACAAATGAGATTTGATAAAGTGAATCTCAAAATGTAATTGAGAGGAAGGATTAGGAGTGTATTTTTCGAAGAAACGGTCATTTGCATTTAAACTAGACTAGACGAGGAAAAAGAGTCTACATAAAGTACTCCGTATTTTTGGTGAGAAAAACGATTTTGTACACGTATCCTTCACACTGTCGTCACATTTTTAAGTTGTCTGTGACAGACAACTTGTCTGTGAAGGACAGACATGTGTACACATTTTATATACATCTAGCAAAACTATTTTGGTGATGGGGTCGAACACCCATTTCATAAAGTATTGGGATTTTATCATAAATACTACTCCGTATTATGGAGTGTTTGAAACTAATTCTGCTCCTGCTTAATTTTTTAAACAAAAGCAAAATCAGAAACAGTTTTCAGAAGCTGTAAAAAACTTGATTCTAAGAGTAAATTAGGGCACATAAGTACTTATACACTTCCACCCAAACACTTCAACTTAAATTTCTGCTCCTATTCTTTGAAGGAACAGAAACAATTTTAAGAATGGGCCCGATTCTGGAGGGAGGGCAAAGGGGCACATACCCAGGGCCTATATTTGACATGGGGCCCAATTTTTAAATACTACTACGCAGTATATGTTTTAGTATATGTCTATAATACTGCGTACACACTACACGCCTATGCACAACATATAAGCTAAGATATCATTTTCAAACCTACATTTAGAGCTGTAACGCTTCGATCTTTCTATACATGTCACACATCAGTATTTACGTTGTTGTTGTGATCGATAACGGAACACCATGGTGTTCCGATTTTTACCTTACTGTTTGTTTTTTATATTTTGTTACCCAAAATAAAAGAATAAAGACATGACACCCTAATTCATCGGATCTCCATGAGGAGAGTAGTCCACGTGTTGCTTCCTCTCTACAAATCATTATCAGACACTTGTCTCCTCCAACATAAAATTGACGGCTCTCTACTCTCTAAAATCACCAAAACTGCCAAGTCCGCTTCACATCAAAAGCATTAAATCAAATGGTCTTTAAAGACTACATTCTGGAGGAGACAGGGGTGGGGTAATCAAATTCTTAAGATGAATCCCTTGTGCTTATCCAATTCTTCAAGAAAATTCATTCTAGAGCGAGGCGCCATCAAAATTCATTCAAGGTTATCAAGAGCAACTTCTAGAAGGCAAGGATTACAAGAAAACTTTGAAGAATCTCTCGACTCCCGGTATCGAAGAACAAATTGCCAAGAAGACATCAAAGGGGAAATTGCTAGGATTTCTTCAGAAAGCCTTTTCAAGAACTCGAGTTCAACATAAAGACAAAGAAACTCGCGTTGCAATGCCGATTGAACATCAAGGGGTATATCGTTGGAGCATTTTATGGTTTCCAATCTGATTAAATATCTTTGTATTCGTGTAGCTATTATATTTATAATTTAGACTCGATCAACCTAATGTTAGGGGCCCATTTATTTAGTAGATACTCCTTTTGTAACGGGCACATTCCTCAGACCTATAAAGTCTGAAGGAAAGACTCGAAACCCTGAGCGTCTAAGCATCTACGGAAAATAGACTAACCATTCAAGCTAGGGAGAGATAGTTGCACTGTGTATTTCGATACTCTGCTTTGTATTTCACGAACATTTTCTGGTATTGAATATACAGTTCATCGCTTCTCTACTCCATTCTAATCTGCGATTGTTGGATCCAAAGGGACAAACACACCTTTTAACATGAAAAAATGAACTTAAGAATTAAGACTATTACTTGTAGATTGAGATTCACCGCCAATGCACAACTTTTACTCAAATTACTATAACTATTAACTCAAAAGACATAAATTTCGTTCAGAACTCATAGTTGATCGTTTGCATTATAAATAAAGCAAAGTGCAATAGAATTACAACATACATTCAAGGTCAAACACTGGATCTTCATAGCAGTAGAAGGTGAACTGAAGCAAAAAAAATGCTCTCAATTGAAAGCACAGACCCCCCCCCCCCCAATGTTCCTTAGAATTTGTTGAAAAGTAGTACCAACTCTAGGAGCAAAGGTTTGCAGCAAGGATCCATCCCTACCTATCCTCCCAGCATTGCCTAGTTGGCTTCCGATAGGGGTGGTAGCGGATCGGATATTCACCGGGTGGAGGCTCATCCACGTCCACCCGTTAATTTTTTATACTCCACCCACCCGTCCATCATCCATTAAAAATTACATCCACATCCAACCCATCCATCTTGAACGGATTATCGGGTGGATCGGGTTAGTAGCGGGTGAAATATAAATGGTCAAACTTGAGACAAAATAAATAAATTACAAAGAGAAATCAAGACAATTAAAAACCAAAAATTAAGAATTCATTGTAAAATAACAACAAAAACATGAGCAATTAAGTATGTTACAATCATTAATTCACTGCCAATGATAAAGAAAAAACTGAATGTTAAACAAAATAGACATAAAACTTCTTCAAGTTGTTAAATTATGCATTTATGCATCGGCACAAAACTATTTTTGCTATTTAACTGCCACTTCTTGAACCTCTCCAATTATCTTTGTTTCACCAATTAACTATTATTATTATTATTATTATTATTATTATTATTATTATTATTATTATTATTATTATATATTATTAAATAGATATAATATATATTATATATTATATACTTATATGCGGGTCAGCGGGTGGGTGGATGAAACAGGTGACGGGTCGGGTGATGGGTTGGATGAGCCTTTATCCACACCCGATCCACTCCTTCTTTCGATCCACCCGTCATCCATAATTCTTCGGATTTTCATCCATATTTTTGGTTCGGGTTGAACGGGTATCCGCGGGTGCGGGTGATATTGCCAGCCCTAGCTTCCGACCATCCCTGAAGATCTGTCAGCAAGTGGAGGCCGGTTGGAAGCCCAGCCTCCTGCGCCGATTCAACCAGTCACCCTCACCCCTTCGCAAATTCCATATTCGACCCGCCGGCTACCATTGATTTTCGACATTGAATCTCAAATATGGCTCCCAGAAGCGAGTGCGGTCCTCGTTCCCCATTGGTGCCCCAAACGATGAAACCCAATGGACTGATCGGCAAAAACATGATTTCCGATTTCCAGACTGCAGCGAAACCACCCCCCACACCCCTTCCCTTCAATAAGACTTATCCAAAAGCACAAAAGGAACAAAGAGACTCATGGGAGCTAGATTTAGGTATGCGTAAACATAAGATACGAAAAAGGTTTAAAATTGATTTTAATTACAAAAATGCCATTAATGACGAGAAGATGTATTGGTTGATCGCATGGTTTATAAAACTTCTCATTTTTCAGTTTAACTGGGACTTCTCATGAGATCTTTTCTCGAAAATGAAAAATATGAATGAGCGATAAAAAGCATAAAAAATAAAAGTAATTAAATTTAAAAAGGGAAAATTTATCCAAAAGGGAAAATCTAGTAAAAACTAAATCAAAATACATAACAAAAAAACAAAATATAGCAACGAAAAGAATTGAAAGAGGGTCCTTTTGTTTTTTTTTGGGGGAATTTTCGTTAAGAAAATCGAATGTTCCTATCAATATGTTTTCTGAACTTAAGATCATTTGTAGTGGTAGGGAGTCTAAAATGTTAAACACATATGGATTCCGTCCATATGAAAACAATATATTTAGACTTCGTGAATAATGTTTTTCCCTGCATTACAGCACCATCAATAAAATACGCTCAACATTTTTTTACATATCGATTTAGTAAAACATTGATTAAATCATTAAAAGTAATTTTTTCTTTTAAATTTAGTAAAATATAAACTTCAATAATTTTTTAAACGTTTTTCGGTTAACAAAAATGAACTTTGTTCAAGTAAAGTTCGATTATTATCATATTCTCCTAAAACATTCAATTAAATCACATGTGAACATTTTATGAGCATTCTCATTAAATTCGTATTCCAATTGAGCATTCTCATTTAATTTTATGTTTAAGTTTTTCAACTTTCATAAAAAAGAAAATGAGATGATGTAATATTCAAATATTAATGATGGAGACTCCATGAATTATAAATTTATGTTTCGTCATTTTTTGGACTAAAAAAACTCCAGCAATTAAAATTTCAAATTTTGTTCACTATACATATACTACTGGTGTTTAAAATAAAAATAAAAAATTCATGATTTTTAATACGGAGTATATTTTTAAAAATTTTGGAACACAAGTAGTGTTTGTAATGCTGAAATGACGTCACTATGACGTGATCACCTACGTTTTTTCTTTTAATCCGCCGTTTCTTCTTCCGCAACTTTCTCATTTTCTTTTCCTTTGTCCCCTTTATTTTTTCTCCCCTCTCCTTACACAAAATGCAAATGGTCTAAAAGAACAAAAAACAAAAGGGGCGCATGTGAGTATAAATGGACGGCCACGAACAGCTCACAGTCAGGATGAATTAGAACAAGTCACGAAGACTCAGAGAGTTTCAATTCGTCTCCCTCGGAAAGCAGGTTCGGGTTCCATCCTCTCCATTATTCCCCAATGCCTTCACTTTACATACGAATCTTTCCTCTTCGATTTTAGTCATAATTTTGGTTTCCTCACTAAGTAGGGTAAGCCCATTTCCGAACAACTCCCTGTCAATTCTCAGACTTTTTATTCCATATCTGAAACTGAGTGAGCATTGAAGGATTTTGCTAATCTTTTGCTCAATTCTCAAAATTTTGACTTCAAGCTTGGTGCTTTCTTCTGTGTTTTGGATTTTACTTCAACAAGATTTATGGGTTGATCCAAAAGATGGGTTTTTCTGTATCTTTGAATATTCGGTCAAGATTCATTTCTGAACCAAAAGATGGGTTTTTGCTGAATCACTGAATAGTCGGTCAAGATTCATTTCTGAACCAAAAGATGGTTTTTTTAATATGTTTTCTATTTTTTTTTAACGTTTGTATGCCTACCTTTTACATGTGTGGCCAAGTGGATTGTAGATCTGCTAATCCGCATTAGCCATTTTAAGTATTGTTTGGTTTAGATGTGAGTTTAAGCTTCTCTAGCTTCTGCATGTTTATGAAGATGTTGTACTGCGACCCAATCATTCATCCTCTTAACCCATTTCCTCCAGATCTAACCATGTTATGAGTCGTATGAGTTATGACCAAAAGT